TGTGTCCACGTTGTACTTTCACTTTATGGAAAAAGTGCCTAAAGGGCCCCAAAATGTCTGTGTGTTTTAGCTCATCTTTAGAGGTAAATTTGGAAGCAGAGAGAAGCATAAAAAGGGAGATTCTATTAAGCACCAATAATAATCAAACCAAAAAATGGGAAGAAAACCAATAGACATGTGTAAGCCAATGTGCTGAGTCAGCTGACAGCTTCTTATATTCTATTTAATAATATATGGGATGGAGTAGAGTACATAACACAGATCTGCAGCAGAAAGCTGACTGCATGTATTCACAACAGATACAGAGAAGACTTAAGGTGGCCATACATTGTTAGATTTTCAGTCGGAAATTGTACGCGAACGACCTTTCAAACAAAAAATAAAACATTTGATGGTACAGCACAGATTTTCGTTTTTGCTAATGTGAATAAAATTTTTCATATGGTCAGGTTGGAAATTTTTTCTCTGACTGAACGAAATTCAATAAATGAGTGGGGCTTTCGTTTGTCCAAAATCTCCCCAAGAACACAGTACATGCGCAAAAGGAAAGCTGCCTAGGTCTAATGAATGCTTTCTCTGCATAGGTCAAATGAATATTTCCATCATTTGTCAAAAATTGGTTGTATAGTATGGCTAATGAACATTTTCCAAAATCGACCTTTGCCTATGCTTGATGGGGAATTCTAGGTATAATCGAACTAGGGTTCGTGACAGAAACAAAACCTTTTCGAACGAAAATCTACTAGTGTGGCCACCTTTAAACTCCATTGGGTGACAACAATTCTCTGGCAGTCCAGATACTTCTTCCAGGAAAAAAAGGTTACATAGCAGTTGGATCGTAAATAGTTGTTCTACCACCTTTTTAGTAATCTCTAGCAAACCTAGTTTAAAAATGTCATACCTGAAGTTCTTTTTGGAGGTTTTGGTGGCTGTGGTTTAGGCGGCTGTGGTTTAGGCTTAGCTGTCATGGTAAAATAAAAAGACAACATTACTAAACTTTATATAAACACAGGTACATTGATGAAGATTCACATTTACAGGCATCATACGTACTTTTCACTCACAGTAGGCTTATTCAGAATATATTGCTCCTGCAGAATCCTGCTGTTATTCCATGAACACATTACACTTATAAAATGATAAATTTTAAAGCGCAATGATTATGCATAAAGTGCAGTAATCCATGGAATCCAATGAAATAATATTTGACAGAAGCAGCTGGAGAGATGCAAAAATGATTGCACGAGTGCTTGTTATGTGGTACAACACATACTGTTTTTCCCCTCTTTCAAACCAAGAGGGACGTAGTTATAGATGGAGAGAGAGAGAGAGAGAGAGAGAGAAAGAGAGAGAGGAGAGAGAGATCCAATGGAAAGTGCTTCTTGCTAAGAAGTCAGTAGCACTACTCATTGGTCAGTGCAATCAGGTGACCATGCTGACCAATGAGTGCTTGCCATTTGTGAGCAGAATTTAAAAAAACTGACCGCAGGGATGTGTACGGTGTAATGGATCCTACACCAGTAGCCGCGAAGGGGAAGGAGCTTTTATTGACCGTTAAAACCAGTGGGGGAGGTGAAAGGGGGCAGATTGGTGGGGGTAATGCCATTTTCCCAAATTTGCCTGGGAAAGTGCAACAACCTTTTATCGTGTGAAAAGGGCAGCCACTGTTTTAAATGTTACCTGCCATATATTTATTGCTTGTCTTGGGGTCAATGGATTACCTCAAGTCACTGGTGAAAACATTGTCCCATATTCTGACATGGAAAAGCAGAATAAGAAGATTTGAGATGCTAAATGTTTACATCAGAGTTGCAAAGAAAAGCAGAACTTTGTAATCTTACTATATATAGCTTGTGGCTGTTTTACTATTCAGCATATTGGTAGACAGCGCTGCCAGACTCAATATGACTTGAAATAATTGACTATTACTGTATTTGAAAAACAAACGATAAATTAAAACCAGATGAAAAAAAGAAAAAAAATATTGCCCATAGCAACCAGACATATGTGAAAGTCGCTCCATTTACAGATCAAGTCAAAGGATAGGTGAATGGATGATGCAGCTGTGCAAGTAGAACCACACAGAACTACCCCAAATGTAATTGTGACCATGTTTTATGTTACAACCTAAATATGGGTGTAACATGAAACAGGGTCTAAAAAGTAAACGTAGCTTTAAGGTTTCATTCTAAATTAAGAGGTGCCACAATTGCTAGAAACTGTAAAATTCATGGTACATGGTAGACACGTACGCTTCTCTGTTGGGACATCATCAAGAGCATCTTCCAGGTTGAAGTCATCTCTTTGTCCATGAGCTAAAACAAACAAAAACAAATAATTTGCAAAAATTAGGTACAAGATACTACATATCAAAATGATCAACTCACTGCAGATCTGTAATGTAACATTAACCTTTACACACAGTATCATATGAAGATGAGCACATTGATCTATAATTATCTTCTTCAAAAGCCCACATTCAGAGCTCCAACACATGGATAACAAAACCCAACATGCATTGTGCATCCATGTAGCAAGAACCACATAGCATAAAACTCCAGTACAGCAGGCAACTTCTTAAATACACAAACGATCTGAGCAAGGCATTCTGAAGCGGTAGGCTTCATTCTACTTTATTTCTACCAAATTAAACATCACAAGAGGCAATATGTAATAGTCTCATGCCAAAATTAAAGCGAACATGTGCTTTGACCAAACAGGCTCCCCAGTCCTTCCACCTGTGGGGAAGATGTGAAAGTACCAACTCAATCTAGCGAGAGATTAAATAGGGTTAGGGACTCTCCTCCTCTCCCCTGGACACAGCAGCTGATGGCTGCTGTCAGAAGAAGGGGGGAGAGTCACATGTTCCTCCATAACCAGAAGAAATGGCTATGAAACTGCTGCCAGAGGCTGAAAGGAGTGGTGAGGGGGCAAAGGGAAGAGGAGTATATGTAATTTGTTGTGCTGACCGTCAAGTGAACCTGTTGCTGTGAGCAAAGTACATATTATCTTTGAAGATCCCCTTGAATCACTTGTGTACCAGCCCGTATAAACCTCTTCATTACCAGGCCATTTTTCAGTGCTATGATAGTTTGATTGACAATTATTCCATCATGCATCGCTGTACCCAAATTATTTTATATAATTTTTTTTTAGACAGAAATAACTTTCTAGTGGTCAGATATAATAATAACCACTGTGGTTGGATGGAGATGAAAGGGTGAATGTGCAGGATTAGGGAGATGAAGAGTTAATATAAAGGTCACATTACAGAAGAACATCAGTAGTTAAGGTGAGGAGGGGCACTACAAGGGTTAAAAAAAATCTCAGTCTATGAGAATAAATGCATGAATCAACTGCTGCTGCTGCTGACTCGTTCATTCTCCCATTCACAAGTTACAATTTATCTCCTTCCTCTGTTGTAAGAGGAAGGGGAGGGATCTTCCATGTAAACAGTACCACGTGATTGCTGTGATTAGTCATCACAGCGTTCCTAAAGTACAATTAAAGTCTGTTTTTTGGGGGCAAATATCTACTGCTAGTAAGCAGTAGATATATACCCCAAACGATAAAAAAAAATTCACTCCCGGCAGCAGATGCCCCGGCTCCCGAATGCTGTAAAGGAAGAAGTGTTGGCAGGTGCATGCGCAGTCAAAATCATCGAAGAGGAGGAGAGCAACGCTGCAGCTCGATGGACGCAGCAAGGCAGTCGTGAGCGCACACGTCGAACATACACTGTGGTACCCAAGGAGTCTGTGGTGAATCAGAGACCGGCACCAGGGTTGGAGGGACAGTGGAAAACGAGCGGAAGGAAGAAGATGATCAGATCAAGAGGCATCAAATAAGTTTAGTGCCCACAGCAGCGTTAAAGGGGGGGGGAAAAATGCGTTTAATGTCACTTTAAGGTAACAAGATGGTCAGATCAGCTTAATACATTGTCTCTGTGTACAGAGATGTCCAAGGCAGGCTCAGTACTCAGTGATTAGCGGGCGTGCAGCAACTATTTCAGAAATGTGGTTTTAGAATGGACTGCAATACACAATGCTTACAGTCTAATATTATTACCGATTACCGGAGATGACCTCAGCGGTCTTCTGCTCCTCCTTTATTGGCCACTCAAAAAGCTGGGGGAGAAGTGGAGCAGACTTCTGCAGACCCCCTCACCTTTTTGTTATCTTAGCGCAAACGTCGGACACTACGGTCCGCACCTTTTGAGACGCAGCACACTTTGTGCCCCCCGAAAAAAAACCTCCAGCCCTCCGGAGAGCGCTTTTTCCCTGGACTTACACTCCTGCAGACATTGTTTACTTTATCTACAACCACCCACCAAATGGACAACCATTATCCCTATTTTAGGGTGGGAAGCTTATTAACCATGTACACATACATATATGAGATGCAATAAAAAGAAAAAGCTGAATTATTTTTTTTGAAGTTCCACTCTAATGTTAGTGAAAAATCAACAGTTCTATTTTTTCTGTTTACTGTATAATGACAACGCATGAAATGCAAATGCCTTCTAATAATAGGTGTTCAAAACAAATGGAGATATTGGGTCATGATGTCCTGTGGGAGATAAATGTCTTCGCTCATCATACATATTTAGTCTTATAAGCAGAAGAGATTAATGGGATTTGTTAATCACAATTATCCAGGCTTCTAAGAATACAAGTCTACACTGAATTCCAGCTGAGAATGCAGCCAATGTAATCAAAGGCTGACGGAACGACAGGTTCAAAATACACACTTTGTGGTTACCTCCACTTTCATTTAGCTTCAAAAGAGTAGGAATGTACACAAGCTTTTAAGATGTGTTTACATGCCTTCACATAGACTTATATAATAGTACAAACTGATTTCAAACTGAACCTAAAGCATACATGTTATTTGGCCACGCACGGCAAAGCAACAGGTTTACTGTAATCTCCCCAGCAGCATATACTCACCTTTTTCTCACTTTCATTTTGCTGCATTCAGGTTCTGGTAGCAAAGAAAATATCCAGTGCTTCCAGGTATAAAGAAACAAGTCACTCACTCCATGTTGACAGCACTGGGGCAATCACCAAATTGAACAATGCAGAATCTGCTCTATTTCCACAATGCTCATACTAGGAACAAAGGGTGGCAATGGCCTTAGATTGCTTTTTTTGTACACAGTCATTTTGGTCTGCGTTTCAAAATTAGCAGAATGGCAAGATGATCAAAACGTACAAGCCCAGGTCTCATGCCTGTGCATGGTTGTGGTGCCAACGGCCCCAATTACTTGAGGCATTCCCCGTTTTTGAAGGGTTGTTCCTGAAAAAATATTTGTAATGTTCAGCACAGCTGTTGTGCTGCAGATACAATCTCCAATTCTGGTTACCTCTTTAATATAATTTAAAACACCATGAAAGGAATCTCTTATCCAAATAAATAGTCGCACAATACTTGTGTCAGAAATTATTTGTTTGGGACAACTGCTTCAAAAAGAGCAAATCTAGTTGCTATGTTCCTTTTTTTTATAGGTTTTCTTGTCACATTTGACATGAAATAACACTGAAAGTCCACTTTAAAGCAAGGAGATTATGAGGAATGAATCCAATGGAGGCCTCAAAAAGTGTCGAATGATCCTTAGAGATCCAGGAAAAACAGAAGACAGACAAACAAGAAATAGATTTAGTTATGCGGATTTTCCCATTGGATTAAAAAAAAAAAAAAAAAAACTAAAACATCTCACTAGAACATAATTGTATCCCCTGGTAGAAAGTGTCTCATCTCCTGGGTTATTTGATGACAGATTATATGCAGTGGCATTAGCTGCTGTGGCAGTTGTAAGCCATTATGTGACAGGACAGTCAGTACCAGATTATATGATACATAAAGTGACATCAGTCATTATACTCGTCAGTAAATGATTATATACAATGATATTCGTTGGTATGACAGTTGGTGAGAGATTGTGTTCAGTGTTAGGTCATTCTGAAGCAGGGTGAGCAGATGCAGCCATGGAGGTAGAGTGAGGAGAAAGTTTAGACAATATAGGTAGGGAGACAAAATGTGACCACTCAAAGGATCAGAACTGCGACAAACCTAATGCCACCAGTGTGTGCAGCCCTAAGATAATTGGTGTTGTTAGCAAGTGGAGGCAGAACAGCAGCTAAAAAGAGAGGGCCAGCTTTAGACAAAAATGGGGCCCTGGACAGAAGTAAATAATGTGCTTGAAGAAGAAGAGCCTGCTTACATGACCCGTCAAAAAAGAAAGCAGAGAGCACTCTATGGAACACCACAGGCTCTACCATGCTCCACATTTTATAATTAAAAGGTAAAATAAAGTGTAGAGTGCTCACTACAGTATTTGCTCTGGAAGCTCTGTGGGACCCACTTAAATTGCAGAATACCGTTGTCACAAAACCCTTATGCACCTGTGAATGGCGTGCTACCATAGGCATCATTCAGACCGGCAGCAGGCTTTACCAGGGATTGCTTTATAGAGGGACGACTGCTGTTTTTTTTTTTATCAGAATGGTGGTGGTGGCATGGCCCAATTGATTGTAATTGTCAAGAAGTCTTTACCAGAGGTGCTGTGCAATCGTGTGTGTGTGTGTGTGTGTGTGTGTGTGTACGGTGTGGTTCACAGAATGAGACCCTGGCCACGCGCGTCTGTGTGCACATTCTACAGGGCGTATGCTTGCACTTCGAATCATGGCAACAGAAGGGCTATTTAGACTGTGACATCCAAGCTGAGTGATCGTAAGCTTCCAGTGTACCCGAGATCCTGATCCCTGAATCCAGACTGATTTCCTTTTGCTGACCTGGCTTGTCCTGACCATTCTTCTGCTATTCTGGTTACCCACACTCCAGCTTGTCCTTTGAGCTCACTCTTGCCTGCTATCCCGTTACCGTGCTGTCCACACGACTCTAACCCCGGCTTGTCTTCTTAACGTGGATCTGCTTGCTGATTTGGTAACTTGCTGCCCGCTCCTCTATCTAGGGGTCTTGGGGCTGGAGTTTCAAGAGAGGCCAGTGGTGTAGAATCTCGACGCCCGGGACATGCAGTTCGAGCGCAGGGTGGGTAGTTTTCTACATTTAGCCCTGCTTTGGGCAAACTGCTTGTACGTTTACAAGTGAGCTTGGCGATGTCACCAAGATCACCTGTAAAACGACTGCAGGTCTGGGGGGTTTGGGGTTGGCGGGGAGGAGGCGCATTGAGACACTTGTCCTTGGGTCAGAAGAGAGTAAATCCGGTCCTGCATGACAGGCAATTTATATGAACATATTCTGATATGCAGGAAACTTTTGAACATGTAAAACATGTGAAATTTTTATGTTTGCATTACATTTAACTAGGGGTCACAAATATCTCTGGATAATGGGCAACCTTTAAGGAGGTGGAAAAGGAACTGGAAACCTCTAGAACTAATAACAGTAAATTGTAATCTGGATTTATACAATATATAAGAAAAAGGATGGGAAATAGCCCGCTAAGTCTGAAATAGTTACAAACGTATGCATGTGCTGTAGGTACCAATCAGATGCATTTTTACCTGAAGTTAAACTACAGCAGAAAGCCATTTGCTGATAGTTTATTCTTACTAGAGAAAGGAACATGCATACATTGCCATTTTAAAAGCAAGATTAATGGGGAGGTATTCAATAGTGGGACAGCACTGATATCCATATACCATCTATGCAGTTGGCCTTCTTTTAGCAAATGCTTCTAGATGAGATTTTCTGTGGGGTGCCTAGCTCTACAGTTTACTGTAATGGACTGTGACAGAAACAGAGATTTCACTGTGCCTTTTAGTTCTGCTTGCTGTACTGCTAAACAGAAAGGTTAATATCTATTTTCTCCTCTAGTGCTTTCCTCTAATTCTAGCTGAGAGGCAATTTGTGGACCTCCAGATGTTATAAGCTTACAAGTACCAGTATGGCTTCCCAACTGCGTCACAGAGGAGCACGGTAGGAGCGGTTATGTGATAATAGATATGGGCTTAAATAGTTAACAACATAGTTATCTTCAAGTTGGCACAGCCAGAACAGCATAGAGGAAAAAAATATAGCTCAAATTGGATCTGGATATTTGCCTGACATTATCACAAGTGCTCAGATGTATGATAAAGCAGACGTAAATAAAAGGAAACCAATTTGGACCAAAATCTAGGAATTCAGTTAATAATTACCAAATTGTTATAATGGGTTTCATTCGCTTATGAAGTACAAAAACATTCATTATTGGAAAGCACGCAATGGGTGACAAAATAAAGTAGAAAATATGCACCATAGGGAAGGTGCATAAAAGTGTTTTAGTGTTTAAATCAGTTATATATATATATATATAATTATTCAGATTTACTTTAAAGTTTACCTAAAGGCAAAACTTGTTTTTGCAGTGTGGAAGGAATAGGGGGAACGGTTAACACTGCTGTCTCATTAGGGGGATTTCCCTTCACTTCCTGTCCTGTAGTCTCAACAGGAAGAAAAAGGATGCATCTTTCCAATGTGAGGGGAATTCTCTCTGACAGAGTCGTCCTGTTTCTATTAGAAGATTTCTGTTTTGAGGCATCGAAAAATTTTGGATTTACCCCTACTTTCAGTCCGGGTGACACTGGTGATCAGGATAATGACAGAGAGTGAATCTAACGAGTCAGAACCAGAGGTCTTGCTGCACTCCTTACCGGAAGAAACCCATACGGGTGGGTGGGTGCTCGTAGTGACCACGGACGGCACCATGTATGCCATAAATGAAGAAATAACGTCACTAGCACACCATAGGAGTAATGCAATAGTCCATTTACTGACACATTACCATTCGATGACCAGTGTATGTTTGTGGAGACCCACACAGCTTACTTCTTAGAAATATCTCCCATCCCGATGTACCACATTATCCCACAGGTGCCAAAACAACTGGTGGTTGGCGTCACAGTATACAATCTAGAACCTGGGTTCTGAACTAATGGGTTGCGACCCTATTTTCAATGGGTAACCGCATGCCTTCCACTTTTCTAGGCGAGAGGCTCCTTTGCCTCCCCCTAGCGCAGCACTGACAGTTCTCATGCCAAGCAGCCATTCGAAATATGCTGACTGGTGCCGAGTGTCAGTTTGAGGTGGGATGGGATGGGGCCATGGCCACGAGGGAGCTCCATCTATACGTGCATTGCTTACAGCTCCCTCACATGTTCTATAGAGGTGCCATTGTGACATAAAATTCTGGCTCCCGACACCTCTACGGTGCGTGCAAGGGAGCTGTACAAGCAATGCATATATGCATGGAGCTCCGTCACAGCACAGCAGCCCACACTGAACCACCCCAGGCTGAGGATACACTCCAGTTCTCGTAAGGTGGGGAGACTGGGTGGACCTTAAAAAAAAATTAAATACAATTTTTGGGAGTGTGTATGTGTGTCAGAATGTCTGCGAGTGTGTCAGATTGTGTCAGTGTTTTTTTAGGGCCCGTTCACACCAGTACAATGCATTTATTCACATTGCAGTGCCGTGCAATTAACGCACTGTACCACACAATCACACCTACCGTGCATTCTGGTGTGGGAGGTGTGTTGCCCTTCATTTGAATGGTCCCCCAGACCCACAGTTCGTACACGCGATATCCCCTTCACTTTTCGCCCGGGGCCCGTGCCCCTGCTGCCCCCCCGGTTGTTACGCCACTGCCAGGGACAAATGTGGGTCCTGAGGTTACACAGGTTGGGAATCACTGATCTAGAAGATATGTTGTCTGCACAACATTCTGCTTCAGGATGTTATCTTTATTTGTATTGCTCTAGCATGACATATGGAAGCAAAGCTTCGGAGCCGCACAGGGCCCCTTCATGACGAAAGGGCCTCGCCAGGCTCAGAAATGTTGCATCTATATGTCATGCTAAAGAAATACGAATAAAGATGACATTCTGAAGCAAAATGGTGTAGGGACAACATAACTTCTAGAAACAGCTTGCTAGCACACAATAGGACCATGAAAGGGAAAGGAGCCACCCTAGAACATTATATCAGGACCAGTGCTCAGAGAACCAGCTGCTCCTGCAGGAAACTACAACTTATAAACCTCAAGAAGCAGCATCCATTGTAAGTGATTTCATCAGCATTTGAAATAGTTTAAAAACCTTTTGACTTTAATCTTGTTTTAGCGTTCATAAAGGGTTCCAAAAGTTGGTGAAGATTTAAGGAGATGTCACTTAATTTCACCATGTATTTCTCAGTGCCAGTGACCATTAGTGCTAAATAAGCACAGACTAGGAACTGAAACTTCAGAGATGTTCACGTTGGGAAATCATGACTATCTTTTGCAATGCGACTGCAAAGGTACAGCTTTCTGTACCAAAATGCACAAACAAATAGTCTTTTTATTCTAAAACAATGGTATTATCTTTAATAAATAGACAAGCCAAGAGTATTTCATGGGAAAGTGATGTATACAACAACTTGCAAAAAACACACCACCGCCAACCCACAAACCAGTTACTTTTCAACCAGCAAAGGAGTAAACATTGGAGCTTGTCTTACAAACACAATCTACAATTTGCTTCTTTGCTTGTTGGCTTTAAAACAGAACTCCAGGCACAAATAAGATAAAATGATTAGACCAATAAGAGCTACAACAAAACCAACTGCTGCTGCAATATTCACCTTCAATCCAGGGATTTCCCTTGCACTACCTTTTTTCTTGTACTATATGTCCTCAGTCTGACGTTCAGCATCATTCCACCTACTTCCACTGAGCCCCCAGTCATCCTTATTGAAGAACTCCAGGCAAAAGTGCTCTTAACCCTTGAAGTGGGGCTACCTCCACACTGCAAGGGTTAATTGCTCGTTTCTGTCTAGGTGCTAAAAAGAAAAAATAGTTATACTTACTGAACCACAGAGCTGCCGGCCTGCTTCTCCGATCACTGAAGCCTCTCTCCTACACTGCAGCATTGGAGTCCTCAGGTCTATACACAGTGTATAGAACTTGATGAAATGCAGGACCTTAGACCGCTGCAACAGAGGGGAAAGAGATGCTCCAAGGATCGGTCTAAGGGCTAGCTGGCTCAGAGAATTAGGCAACTATAACTTTTTTTTTTTACCTAGACACGGACAAGCAGGTAACCTCTCACTGCAAGGGTTAATACAAATTCTGCCCAGAGTTTTGCTCTTGTGACTGGACAGCGAAAAGAAGAGTGACACAGTAATGAGCTTATCTCTTTATCACTCTGCTTTCTCTCCCGATCAGCATACTCCCTGTAAGCCATGAATTGACCGACTCCTTGTACTGGTTCTTCCTCTCACGGGGACTGCAGGAGGCCGATACCAGGTCAAATTCAGGCACCTACACTGCTTGTATTTAAACACATACATGCAATTATCTATTAATTTTTACCAAGCAGTATTACATTTGTATCTTTTTTTTATCTGCCTATAGTTTAGTTTTTAGGGAATGGCAATCACTATAAGGTACCCAAACGTTCTCGTTGACTCTCTGTGACATACTTAGAGCTGTAAAGTGACTATAGGAATCATTAGGGAGGGACAGGGGACAGGCCGATAGACATATTTCACCCAATAGCCTATGTGACCCTTTGCCAGAGCAAAGATACATGCTAGTATGGCACTTCTGATACTATACTGTTATACAGTATACACAGGGCTGGACTGTACCTTTATGTCTGACCACCATCTTTCTATTACCAAATTTAAGCCTCAGAAAATACCTGTAGGACTTAGTGTTATGCAATGTAATCCTGTAATTATCCAATGTAATTTTAGAAATTAAAGTTAAGGGAGAGCTCCATGTATTATACAGTAACTAGAATGGACAAAGTTATTTTCTAAAGTGTTTCTTTTACTAACTTCCATGCTGTGCTTTCTAAGATATGGCTCACCACAAACTGTGCTGGAATTGCTGAGGGACTATTATCTTGATGCCTTCTGTCCGTGCCCTCTCTACTTACTGTCCCTGCTATTTTATCAATGGAATTAGTCACTGAAATTGGAATTAGTCAATGCAAAATCTTCTATTTCAGTGACTAATTCCAATCATAAACGGACAGACACACATACAAAAAAGCGCACAGGCTGAAAGCTAAGCTAGCTGTAAAGCTGGCCATACATTATGTGAATTTCCTCCAGTTGTTGATGAACTCGCAGTGGGTGTGCCCTTGTTGACAGACTTTCGTCCACCATCCTTTGATCAGAAAAATGAAGGAGCCAGTCGTAACATTTTTGGTTGAATAGTGACAGCAGCCATTTGGCTGCTGCCACTGTTCGGGTTTTTCGACAGCAACACACCTGCTGCTGTCAGACTACAATATTCCAGCAGGAGATTTGTCCAATCACACGGTTTCATATGGATGAAGGAATCTGCTATTTTGTGTTCATTCAGTTTGCAGATTGAAAACAAAAACCATAATAGTATATGGCCAGCATACCTCTGAATGCCCAGCACTGTTTTCAGAAATGTGTGACTCAGAAAGCACAACACAGAGGTAAGTGTAATTAACATTTTACATGTACCGCCTAACTTAACTGACTGCTGCATGGCAGAGTACATCTCAGCACAATGGACATTACTGGTATATTAAAAAGAAAGCATATATAGAAAAACCTTTGACATTTTTGACACAGTTCACTGAATACTGCAATTAAGTATTAATGAGGATGAGCAGACATGTGAGAATGTCTTATGGGTGTGGTGGAGAGAAGACACCAGACAAATGACTATGTTTGAGTATGTAATACGTGATGAAAACACAATGCAGACTTCTGTATCATGGTGTGGCATCAGGTGACACTAAAGTATCCAAACTCACACAGCTAGGTCATTGCTGGACACAGTTTCATACAAATGTATCATTCACATTTGCACCCATGTCTGTATGTGAACTATAAATTATTTTTAATCTCTACAACAGGGAAACAAAAATGCTAGTGTGTGTGGGTGACTAGCACAAAACTAGAAGAACGATCACAATATACTCATCTGAGTCAACAGGGGAACTAATTAGCAAGGTGGGTAAACAGTGCTCGAGCTTAGGGCCCATTTAGACCATATCCAGTGCGTTCTGGCACAGTTCTGTGTCCGGAACGCACAGGGTCGCACAAAGCAAGCATGCACTATTTTTTGCAAACGCACTGCACTGGAACGCAGGACATTGCTGTACCACACGTTCTGGTGCAGGCGATCGCACTGTGGGTGGGAGGCGTGTCCGTGTTGCCATTGACATGAATGGCACACAACGCCCCTCTCCCTCCCCAGAATGTGGAAGGCTTGCTTTAGGCCCTGTTCACACCGGGGTGGTTGCCGATCAGCATAATGTCTGTGCAAATTATTAAAAAGGCAGTTTTGGGCGTTTTTTTAATTGCATTTCAGCGCTGAAACACAATGAAAAATGGACGAAACGGCGCTAAACAGCGTGGTTCCATTAACAGCAGTATGGAAACCGCGCTGATTAGCGTGGGAAAATAAGCTCAGGGAGCAATTCGGGCGGTGGCCGGTTTGAATCGCCCTGGTGTGAACTGGGCCTTATGCAATCCAGTGCGTTACAGGCACAGAACTGTTTCCCGGAACGCACTGGATATGGTGTGAACGGGCCCTTAAAGTTTACCAGTTTTAGCTACTATAGAACCAATATAGATATTGCATCACAATGGTGATATAACACATGCATTGCTCCACAGAATATGTAATAAATTGAGCATGGTATACAATAGTAGCTGTAATCACGGAAGTCAAGTGTGAAACTAAAGCCATGTCAGACTAAGGGACAGCAAAGCAGGCCAACAGCATGGTCACCCAGTATTGGGCGAGTCATCTCCATAAAACTAGCATATACACATTTCAGGCAACAATAATAGATTTTTATAAACATAGCATGCTACACTGTTGTCCTTCAATTGGAACTTCAGACCCGGTACACACCATACGTATGAATGTTGTCATACTAAATTGATTCAATACATCACTAACAGTTTGGTTGATAAAATGATCTATAAATAACATCAATACATATGTAAAGTTTTGGAAAAATCGTTTTCAGACACCAGTTGTTCATACTACAGAAGAAAAGCCTTTTAATTTGACTGACATGTCTTTAAAAATGTTCTTGGGGTGCTGCTAATATTGTGTACAGTAGTACAATTGACATATAGAACTATACGCTGCCAATGCACGCTGTTGGGGTCCTAGAAATGACCCCCAGTGATTCTGTAACACCATGTACAGCATTAAGGGACCCCACAAATCTGTAAATTCAAGGATTTTGTCTCTCTTATGTTGCCCTCGAAGCCACATAAAATGGCCCCTCCCCACCACTGTACACAGAGGCCCACAAAACCACCACAATATTTCCCCAATTATATCAATCAGGTTTGTATTCGATCTGTGGAATCTAAAAAATGTGACCTTTCATCAAACAAACAAACTGCCTACGAATCAAACAGACATATTCGAACAACACTAGTACTGACGTTTGGTTGCGTATGGAATAAAATTGCAATCGGACAGTTTTTTGCTTAGATGCTTGAAGAAGTATTACAAATTTCAGCATGTTGTATTTTGCAATGCCATGTACAACACTGATCACCTACATCTGAAAAAATTCTAAATCGATGAGGGTATATGCAAGAGAACTTAATTGTGAACCCCAGGCACACAACTAAAACAATAGGTAGCTTTTGTGCCTCTATATAAAATTGTATTTTTTCATATTATATTGCCTAAAGGCTAACTCATTTGTTATTATGTGCGTGCCTCGTCAATGCTTATGTCAGATTTTGCCTTTTTTTAGCATCAATTTTAAAAAATCCAGAACCAGTATTGGAGCCACATCTTTAAATTTTTCCATTTTAGCTTATTGACTAAGCACTCCTCTAAATGTTTGTTAGTGGTAGCATGTGCCTAATTCTATACACTGGGAGGTGTCGACTATATAACACAGAGATATGAGCAAGGTTAGTTTTCTAAGAGAGCTTCAAGCAGATCCATTCAGACAGTGGTGGAAGAAGTAGGGAAAATCACTACCCCACGGCCGCTGACGTTCAGCAACTTTGGGCATCTTTTTAAGTGATTGTACAGGAGTGTCTGCACATGTTTTTATTCATTAGCCATTGAAAAGCTTGGTAGGTTAAAAAAAAAAAAAAAAAAAGCTTGAAAAACAACCATCCAGATGTGAACAAGGGCCACTGAAAACAATGGTATTTTTCCTGTTAGGCATTCCAGCTACAAAGCGCTCAGGTATGAATGGAGCTAAGGATGACACTAAGCACAAGACTAGGTAGCCTACAGCAACTTTAAAGAATGTGTACAACTGCAGACATGCAGCCTTGATCCACGTTTCTGATTGAATAAACAAAGCTTCATACACTGGTCTGGAGAGTTCCTGGCAAATAACATTCAGGAATTCATTTGTAAAATTAAAAGCTTTTTAAAATCAGACTTCTCATGTTTTATATATACCCATTAGAAAAGATGAAAATAATCTTCAGTGTCCTGCTTTTGCAGGATCCTTAAAACCTAGCATCCATTATTCGCACTGGCTTTCCCATTCACTGTCTTTGTATACAAAAAAAAATTCTATTTATCTGATATAAAGAACTTGCAACATCCAATGCAAGCACTGTCACAACCTAACACCATGAATGATTAGCCCACACTCACACCTGCGTGCTCCAAAAAATGGGTGTCACATTTGCGTGCTTGTGCTTATACATGTGTCAGGTTTGCTATGCAGCCCCATTGAGTTCAATGGTGCCTGCATGCATGACAAACACAGCAAAACAGATCATATTTTGCAACACGCATTCTATGTTTTTTGCTTGCGTA